GACGCGCGCGCGTAAAAGCGGATTCCGCGCGGCAGACGCGACATTTCCGTTCCGCGGCGACGCGGAACGCGTTCTCAAGCTGATGTACGGCACCTGGCGTATGACAGCGGTGATTCATTAGCTACCGAAAAGCCAACGAATCTCTGTATCGCCAATTCGACGGTACAGAAAAAAAAAAGGAGCGTCAAATCAAAACTTGTATACTAAACTAACGCGTTCATTGTTTCGTATATACGCCACAATTTCCAATCTTCTTAGAAGAATTTAATAATTTTAAATTTCAACAATATTATATTTTATATGGTTTGTTTTAATATTGCAATTGTCACCTTAAGAATATATAATTATTTAATTCTACCTTGAGAAAATTATAATCTTTGATTTAAAAATGTTATTTTCTATCCAACATTGTTTCTTTTCCATTCAAGAAAATTAAATCTTAAATCATGAGAATATACTTTTCTCGATTGAACTATATAAAATGGCTTTATTCAAGTAAGCAATTATTCAAGCAATTATATTTTTCTTAAATTAACGCGATATAATCTCACTTCAAGATTTCCATGTTAAAACTAAATATATTTTCAAAAAAAAATAAGAATATCTTTTTTTTCTGTGTGGAGTTGAAAAGAAAAGGCGAGAGAAGAAAGGTCCTTAAAAAGAAAAATCTATTATTTGAGTCCTTTAAATATACAGGAAATTTCTTAATAAGTGCAACAAATTGTAGGAGATGAGTCTTTGTCAAAAGTTAAGGAGGGTTTTTCATATAAACATATACTCCTACATGCCTCCCTGTGGAGTTACACTTCTCCAGAAATAGGGGTAAAAATTAGGTTTTTATTTTTTTCTTAAATTTGGAACAAGTTAAAGAAATGAAATTAGGTAGATATTTTCTACTATTAAAAGATTATTTATTAATATTTATTAATTAATATTTTTATTAGTATATTAAATTATTAATTAATATAATTATTAGTTATTTATTTAGTATATTAATTATTAGTTACTATTTAATACTATATTAAATTATTAATTAATATATTTATTAGTTATTTATTAATATTTTTTCAGCCTCTCATATTGTTATAATAGAATGAAACTAGCAATCTCTATTTAATTTTTTATTAGAACTTTTTAATAGGTCCGAATATGATCACCTAAAAATATGCATTAAAAAGTTTGATTTAGAAACTTTTTTTATTTCTTTTATTTTTTTTATAAAACCAATACTTTTCAAGAAAAAAATAAAATACGTTATCGCGCACACGATGCTAAATAGCATAGGTTTTGAATTACGAGAAGTTAAATTTTGAAATAAAAATAAAATTATAGTAAACGTTGGAAAAATTGGGAAATTATATAATAAAAACCTAAAAACCTGAAAAATAAGGAGTATGTGTTTACGTGAAAAATCTCCTTTAATTTTCGACAAGGAATTATCTCCTACAATTTTTCGCACTTATCAAGAAACACACTCTGTATTTTCACGTAAAGTGTACACGACGCATGAAAATATATCCATGATTTAAATTTCAAGTTACTTTAATACTTGCGAATGTTCTAATGTTAAAATAAAAAAATATCGATAAATTCGATCACGTTGGACGAATGCACTTTACGGGAACTGAGCCGGTTGAGTAAACCAATTCGTCTCTTCCTACATTAGCGTAACGATTAGATAAGGGCCACGGCGCGAACGCCTATCCAGTATCGGGACAATCTCCGGCTTACTATAATTTGTAAGCCTTCAGCCGTCGCGCGGATAAGAAAGATACATCTCTCCTCTGCCTTGTAATTACAGGTTTCCATTTAAACGGCCGCGCCGCGGGTTAGAGAACGCCCATTTGTCTTTAACTGGCGTCTAACAGACCACGTGTACAAGTATATCGAGGTTTCCAACAAGCGCGCGCCCGAAAGCCGGGATAAATTCTTCGCGCTAACTTTCTACGGCGTCGTACACGGTAAGCATCTATCTACGGAAGGTGTGCCAGCTGCGACGCGTTTACCTGCCGATAAAAATTTCGTCGCGCCTTTTTTCGTCGCCGTAAATCGTAAATTTGCTTACAATGATGAATCGACCGACGCGGCGTAAATCACACGATCGAGCATTCACGACTTTACTTATCGCCGATTTCTCTTCCTTTGTTTGACGTCTTTCGCCACACGATGCTTTTTCTTTGCATAATTACGGATAACTAAGGAGATACCACTTTGCGATGCGCGGGAGAAAAAAATTGTTGCATGTTTGTTGGGTTAACACGAAAGGAAGTCTGTCATAATAACTAGAAGTCATCATCACTTGGTGAAGAGAAAAGCCAAGAAACCGGACTTCCTCCCGTTTGTCTGTTACAAACGAGGGAATCTCAAGTAACGCGTGTTTATCACGACAGCTACACCTCACCCAATGCGCTACCTGCTACGTCGACAACGAATGTTGCTCGCTGGGCGATTCTTATCTCGAGCTCTCCTGAATCGTTTTTCCTTGTATTATCTTTCATCGCGAGGACACAATAACTCGCGCCAACGCTTTTCACTTTTTACCTCGCGACGTGCCACAATTATATATACGTATACTTATACATAATTATACTTGACGATGTCACGCGGTCCTTATAATTAATATAATACGTCGGTTTTTTAACTTTCCGGTTCGATTTTAATTTTTTTACGAATACGATTAAGGATGCTTTGTATGTACAATTCCAGCAAAAAGTCGATGAAAATTAATATTGACGAATATATTCACTTTTGGTGTATTTTGAGAATGAGAAATCACGTGGAATATTACAATTTGATTTTAGTTACAGTGCGGAGATGTATTTTTTAAATATTTATTGCGTTTTCACTGAAATATTCCGAAATGATTAACTTTTGACAGAGAATTTCGTCTTGTGACAGATACATGGCTAACTTCATTGAATTATATTTAATATCTTTTTAACCAGTTAGTACTTGTATAATATTATTTGACCAAATATTTCCTCTGTATCTAAACTTTTGCAAATTTTAAACAAATTCTGAATATTATTTCCATGTGTTTTTGTCATTTGAATCGACGTGGTTATACGTTTCCCATAAAAACACATGTTAATTCGGTGCAAATTAAAATTCTTACAACTTGTGAACGCTTTAGTGAATCGATTTAAAAATTCTACCGAAGATTCTAAACACATGTAAGGACATTCTGTACAATTTTCATTAAATTCTCAATATTTTGAAAATAGGTACAAAACATTAAATCTTCACATATTGATTTGATAGTCCTCAAAACATCAGATATGGAACTTTATTGTCGTGTTTAAACAAAGTTATACATTCTGGCGTTTCATGAAACATACACTTATAACTCTGTCAATTTGCATCCGAATAATTTGAAACTTTTAGGAAATATTTTCAATATGATATACGTCAAGGAAATGTAAAAACATAAAAATCATTTTTTTATACGTTTCCCATAAGAACACATGTTAATTCGGTGCAAATTAAAATCCTTACAACTTGTGAGAACGCTTTAGTGAATCGATTTAAAAATTCTACCGAAGATTCTAAACACATGTATGGACATTCTGTACAATTTTCGTTAAATTCTCAATATTTTGAAAATAAGTACAAAACATCCTTAAATCTTCATATATCGGCTTGATAGCTCTCAAAACGTCAGATCTGAAGCTTTATTGTCGTGTTTAAACAAAGTTATACATTCTGGCGTTTCATGAAACATACACTTATAACTCTGTCAATTTGCATCCGAATAATTTGAAACTTTTAGGAAATATTTTCAATATGATATACGTCAAGGAAATGTAAAAACATAAAAATCATTTTTTTATACGTTTCCCATAAGAACACATGTTAATTCGGTGCAAATTAAAATCCATACAACTTGTGAACGCTTTAGTGAATCGATTTAAAAATTCTACCGAAGATTCTAAACACATGTAAGGACATTCTGTACAATTTTCATTAAATTCTCAATATTCTGATAATAGGTACGAAACATCCTTAAGCAACCTTGCAGGACGAATTCGAGGCTAACGCTTGATACAAAATATTCAAGCCCGTAAAGACAAATTTAACGCAAGATCGCGCGCGCGGGTCTTAAATGAGCAAGAAGTACGACAGATATAAAGGGATAGATACAGAGTAAGAGGAAAGGCAAGAGAGTGACGGGCAAACGTAGTGAGAATGACACACTCGTTTCCATTTGAGCAATTTCAGTGCGACGCAAGGCCGAGACGGGACGGGACGAGACGAAGCCGAGCCATGCCACGGTTGTCTTGCCGTCATGGGGAAGAAAGCCGACGAAACGCCAGGAACAAAAGAGATGAGACAGGGCCTGTGGGGTGCGCGAGCTGTCACCTGCATTGTGTGTCGCCGGCGTGTCTTCTCTCCCTTCCCCGCCCCTCTCCTCCCCCGTCCTCTCACCTTCCCCTCCCCTCCCCTCCCTCCCTCGCCCTCCACCATTCCACGTGCGTCATCCGCACCACCGTCGCCGCTGCCGCGGCTTCCTCCTCGGCTATCCCTGTCTCCTTTTCGCCGCCCGCTTCCGCGAGGACGATCGTCCTTCTTCAGCGCCCGGGGATTCGACGCTCCCTCCTGCCCCCCCCCCGCCCGGGGGGGAAGGGGGTACAATAGCCGTCGGCGGCGTCCGTGTGCGCCGCAGCACGCCTAATCACTCTCGGGCGGGCGCGTCTGCTATTGAGATGTTTAATTAACTCCATTGTGATCCTCTTTCGGGCTGCGACACGCCGCAACGGCCCGATTATCGTCGGGCTCGAAGACAAGGGTTTACCGGCTCAATCTCCGACATTTTTGTGTAGCGCTCGTTCGAGCTGTTCCAACAGCGCAGTCGGTTATGTCGATGAAATTGAACGCGTTCGCGAAACAACGCGCGGATTTCATTGTCCGATAATGTATGTATGTAAACAAAAGGTGGGGGAAAATTTTCGAAAATGATGAATCTTTCGGGTATATTAAATTTGTCGCGTCGTGAATTACTTTGATGATATTATTTATTTGGTCTTTCACAAGTTTCGCTTCGTCGTAGATAATGTCACATAAAAATGTGAAATATCGCATTCTTGAGGAAGAAGTAGAGTTGTTAGTTGTGCAGAACTGCATGCACATTGGCAGGAACAATCAAATGATGAGGATCGTATTGATAATTCCATACGTGACGCTCCAATTTTTTGTTTAAATCGACCGATGAAACTCTGCGATGCAGCGATTGTTGCTGACGATGTACAACTGGCCTAATTGATTGATTTTTGTAAATGTTGGATACAATCGAATGCTCCTTGTGAGCAATTGGCACTGCAGCCTGTTGCTTGTAAATGTTCTGCACAACAGATTCGCTCTTGTAAATATTCGACGCTACCGAGAGCGTTTTGAAAACAGCTGATTGTTGCTTGCGAATGTTGTGCACGACGGGTTCATGCTTGAAAACAGATGGAAGGACAGATTTCTTCTGGTAAACATCCGGTACGGACGTTTTCTTGTAAACTATCGTTGCAACTGGTTCGTTTCTGATTATTGGCACAATCGGCTGGTTCTTGTAAACGCTAGACGCCGCTGAAATTTGACCAACAGAACGAGCCAATATGTCACCATGAGAGTTGTTTGCACCAAATTCCCACTTGACGCTGTTCTTGTAAGAGGATGACAATCGATGCATTTGCCCAGCGCTCAATGCAACGAAAAGAACAGTCAGAACAATGGCACGTTTCATTTTGTTTGTCAAAAGAACTTTTCTTACTTTTAACGTAGAATGCTCAGAAACCGTACGAACAACAGTTAGAAACTATTCTGCGATTTGTGGAGCGACGGTGGCGTTTAAATATCGCTCCGAGGAATGCAGCGACGATTATTGTGGATGAATATTTTATTTCTCCAAATCATTCAGTAGAAAAACGAGCAGAATTATTTTAATTATTTCTTTTTGCATTCCAATCGTCTATTTAATTCGTATAAATGTAAATGAAGGATAGAAAAATAGAATGACATGTTTACAATGGCGTAGAATTTGCTATATAATCCTTTGAATAATCTTAATAAAAAAGAATAAAAAATATAGAACATTTATTTCATAATTTTTTTTACGTAATGTTTCCTTCAAATTAAAAATTACAGAATACCAAAAGTATTTTTTTCCATATATTTATCATACATAAATAATGATTACACTTTTTTGATATTCTAATCTGACGCCTAAAAAACAAATGTATTGTTAAGAAAATTGGCGAAAAATACGATACGATAAGAACGTTAAATTGATCGTGCAATGAAATCTATCTGAAATATTTTAATTCTTTGATAAAAAATTCTTAATAAAAAAGAATAAAAAATGTATAACATTTATTTCTTAATTTTTTTATCTAATGTTTCCTTCAAATTAAAAATTACAGAATACCAAATGTATCTTTTCCATATATTTATCATACATAAATAATTATGATTACACTTTTTGATATTCTAAGCTGACGCCTAAAAAACAAATGTATTGTTAAGAAAATTGGCGAAAAATACGGTACGATGAGAACGTTAAATTGATCGTGCAATGAAATCTATTTGCAATATTTTAATCATTTGATCTTAATGAAAAAGAATAAATATGTATAACATTTATTTCATAATTTTTTTTACCTAATGTTTCCTTCAAATTAAAAATTACAGAATACCAAAAGTATCTTTTCCATATATTTATCATACATAAATAATTATGATTACATTTTTTGATATTTTAAGCTGACGCCTAAAAAACAAATGTATTGTTAAGAAAATTGGCGAAAAATACGGTACGATGGGAACGTTAAATTGATCGTGCAATGAAATCTATCTGAAATATTTTAATTCTTTTATAAAAAATTCTTAATAAAAAAGAATAAAAAATGTATAACATTTATTTCTTAATTTTTTTTACCTAATGTTTCCTTCAAATTAAAAATTACAGAATACCAAATGTATCTTTTCCATATATTTATCATACATAAATAATTATGATTACACTTTTTGATATTTTAAGCTGACGCCTAAAAAACAAATGTATTGTTAAGAAAATTGGCGAAAAATACGGTACGATGGGAACGTTAAATTGATCGTGCAATGAAATCTATCTGAAATATTTTAATTCTTTTATAAAAAATTCTTAATAAAAAAGAATAAAAAATGTATAACATTTATTTCTTAATTTTTTTTACCTAATGTTTCCTTCAAATTAAAAATTACAGAATACCAAATGTATCTTTTCCATATATTTATCATACATAAATAATTATGATTACACTTTTTGATATTTTAAGCTGACGCCTAAAAAACAAATGTATTGTTAAGAAAATTGGCGAAAAATACGGTACGATGGGAACGTTAAATTGATCGTGCAATGAAATCTATCTGAAATATTTTAATTCTTTTATAAAAAATTCTTAATAAAAAAGAATAAAAAATGTATAACATTTATTTCTTAATTTTTTTTACCTAATGTTTCCTTCAAATTAAAAATTACAGAATACCAAATGTATCTTTTCCATATATTTATCATACATAAATAATTATGATTACACTTTTTGATATTCTAAGCTGACGCCTAAAAAACAAATGTATTGTTAAGAAAATTGGCGAAAAATACGGTACGATGGGAACGTTAAATTGATCGTGCAATGAAATCTATCTGAAATATTTCGTATCTATATTCCTCGCGTAACATACAATAACATCGCGCCATTGGGCGAGCAGTGCGGTATGTTGTAAATTTCTCGCAGGCCAGGTCTTGTCGCGCTAGCTTATTCGGCCGCGATCCAACAACGACCGGTAGACTGCCGGTTCGTATATTTTAAGAGTCGATGCTGCTGGTAGACGTATTATTTCTCGTGCATTTCGAATGCACGACCGAATGCTGCCCGCGCGGGCGCATCGAAAATCGGATACTGGTTTTCACGATGGGTCGCGGGCGTCGTTTAGATACGAACATCATTTTGTATTCAAAGACCGGAATGTGCGCCCTCTCGGCTCTCGGTCATATTTATTTTCGTATTACTTCGCTTTATCTTTATTCGCGTGTTTAGATGCGCTAAACGATCGCGAGACTTGGATATGACAATGGCATTTTCATCGCTCATATATCCCGCGAAAAGATACGGGGATTTAAATTACCTTCGCGCAAAATAAGCCTCGATTTATAGTACGTCGATAAAAGATACATTTGTGTGGTCTGTATTTTATTACCGCGATAAATTTGAAATCATCATTGACTATAATAAAGTTTTTATATTTACTATTTACGTGATAAATATCATAATGATTCTCGCGATTGAGCAAACATTGGTCGTAATTTGAAAAGAAATATTTACACGCAGCCTTAAGGCGATTTTTATCGCAATCTCGAGAAGAAATCGTTAGTTCCGCGATCGTAAATTTGACTGACGCGACCATCGTTCATTTATGATTTATACGACGGCGTTTGAATTAGAAAAACCTCTTAAGTCAGGTATTGCTACATTGGCTGAATATATAATTACGACGTGACAGAGTTATTAATCGCGTTAAGACAAGACCGAGTGAGAAAAAAGAAGAGAAAAAGAGTTATTAAGGATCGAAAAAATAATAGTGTCGTGTTGTCGAGCCTGTTTTTTTCACGATTATGGCTTATCCGCGTCGTTTATCAATGATAGATTTGATAAATGTCAATGTACGTGACAAAAATAAAATATAGATGTAAGCAATCATGCAAAAGTGAGGTGTTTTCCTTCAAGTTACGAAAGATATTTGCATACTTAAGGGAATACACTAACAATACGATATTGATATTCTCCTTTGAGATAATGATTCATAGAGGAGCGTGGAATTTTTCCTTGGTTGACTAAGTATACTTATAATACCGAAGTCACATGTTACGAATAATACAACTACAAAGTTTCTTTTTCACCTGTCTCACTCATTGCGACATTTATATTACCATAATATAATGTATTTCATAAATGTTTTTCTCGGGCGTAAAATGTAAGCATAAGTAGTCTCATAATTTCGCGAAATTATACAATAACACACATATGTTGAAAACTTTTAATACGATTTTATGCTAAATCGTGCATTTATTTGTAAAATCTTAATCTTATTATAATTGTTCGTCATGTACATTTTTAATGTAAATTTGAATATATTTCTTAAATATGAAATTTAAAATATAAAAATGAACGGAGTGGTAAAATTTTCAGTTGAAAACCTAGATTCTTCTATTAATATTTAATAACCTTCAATTGATATGATAAGTATATCTGTAAACATACTTGAACAATCCATAAATCTTAAAATATATGCTTACATGTGATAAATAAGTCATGTTGCATAAAACTAATACAACATATACGAGACATAAAGTGCGATATACATATAAATATGTTATTTACATACTGGATGGGGAAATAGCTTGTATAAGTGGTAGTAGTAATAAAAGATAAAAACTACATTCATGAAATACAGGTTATATAGGCAATAATATTTTACAGATAAACACGTATGTTTGCGGATTTGAATTATTAATCATTATTATTTACTAGATATCCCCTACTTATATTCAATTTTCAAACAATGTGCCGTTACTCGCGCGTCTGGCCTTCGTCTATATGTTCTCTCTCTTTCTCTCTCTCCTCCAGCAATATTGTTCCCAGTAATGTTCGCATTTTGCGATACGTAGCGAGCGTAACTGTCGGTATTTCGCGATCGTTAAGCAAGTAAATGTGTGTACGTTACGTATATAGGACCCCCTCCCAACGTATACGTATACGAAGCATCCAGCTGCCTCGTAAAAAGTCAAACGTATTACGCGTCCGCGCCGCGGCTCCGGCCACGTTGACATTTTGTGTATAAGCACGCAATATAATTAGCAGCCATAACCATAAATAAGATAATTTGCATGTATTTTGTATAATAAAGCTATTTTACGCCGAGGCACGAATCTCGTGCTTTACGGTTACCGGTGTTGTGCGCGCCGAGGAAAAAAATATCTTCTCTCTCTCTCTCTCTCCCTTTCCAGATATACCGTGTGGCCGACCGCGGCTTTGGCTGCGGCCAAGTGGAAACGAGAACGCCGCTTCGCGTTTTCGGTTCGCCGCCGGCCACCTTCAAGATTTATAAACTGCGATTAGCTGGAAACAATTTCTTGCGCTTTTCAAGCGTCCATTTCCTTTTACTCGGACTATCCGCTGATTGTAAAGTTTGTTCGAAACGAGAGATTGTGTATGCAGGCAATTTCTCTATAAAAGGTATCCCCCTTCAATTATTTGACACTGAGAAAAATCGTTTGATTGTACCAACAAGACGTATATGATTGAAGATTTTGGATCAATCAAACAAGAATTTCTAGTTATCATGATGAGACTAGATTTTTTATAACTAGAACGTTTAATAGATTTTACTAGAAGGATTTGGTTGGATCTATAAAATTAACGTAACAAGAAATTTTATAGATCCAACCAGAAAATATTAACGTCAGATCCAAAGTATATTTTTTTTCTCTTACGAGCAGTAGTGCCAGAAAGAGGACGCTAGCTCTCTGATTGCGTGTGTTTGAGCTGCTTCCTCTTCTTGCATCGCTGTTTATCAGTTTAATTTCTAACAAACTGAATTTAAAATAATTTACTCAATAATCTGGATTGAATTTATCCAACAATCTTGTTGAAATTCAGAATATTAAACAGACTTTTGAGATTAGATGGAACAAATTTTAGACGACTTGACGTGCTGGCGAGTTTATGAGATTATTATTAACCAGAAAATTTGGTAAATTTAACAGGAAGAAATTAATCT